GCTCTGCTAAATACACACTACAGTAAATGAATGGAGGATTCTAACCTGGGTTACTTCAACATTTTCCCTACACTTTCAAGCATGGAATACAGTATCTAAGCAATGCCAGATTCCTGTTGAAGAGCAAAATGTGCTGCTCTGCTTTTCATGCATAGTCATTCTCCATCCCAAACAAACCATGAAAGAGTATGAAAGAATACCAGCTTCAGAGACGGGGCAGATTCTAGACTGGTTTGGAACCACAGGGGCTTAGAATCCAGCAGATCTATGCCTCTCTCAGCCTGCTTCCATGCTAATTCTACCATCTCTACTTTTTTTTTTTTTTTGCCTTCCTGATATCGCAAAGAACCTTCCTCAGATGAATGAAGTGCCAGGAGGGCGTTTCCAGTGATAGAATGGAAGCCTTTGAAATCTTTCATTAATAGCTGGACCTTTGACCAGTGTTACAACCAGCAATTTGTGAAATAGCAATATCTTTGCCTCCATTTGGTGACATCTGGCTTCCCTACAATGCTGAAGAAACCTGATTGAGGAACCATTCATTATCAGCACGTAATAGGAATAGTGGAGCACATTTTAAATCTAGTGGTGAATCCCCCCAAATGATTCAAAATCCAGAGGTGGACAGTATCTTTACTAAAACTGCATAATGTTGCAAAATGATGTCAAGCTTTCATATTTTGTCACTTATGCTAGCTGCTGCTGCTGCTGTTATATCTTCCATCAGGTCTTCACATCAAGTTGTGAGCAGAGCTGCTGTGATACCCTGCAAGAAATAGCTGACAATCACTTTGCCACATCCCCAGCGCTTCTCTGGAAATGTATGTGAGGTGTATATCTGAAATCGTTGTTGACATTCACTTAGGGAGGAGCTCCTTTGCACTCAGACAAGCTTTGAAGGCTAAAGCAGAAAGGGAAGTCCAATACTAGATATTTGGGAGGAGAGGGGAAGGTACAACATGCAAAATTGATCCAAATTTGTGGGTTTCCAAACTACCATTTTACCCGTCAGTTGCTGTGTGTCTATTTAATAAATAATTAATGTGACAAGGAAATGTATTGATGGCTGTAATTATTAAAAAGTATAAATCTTTATATAGATAAATGGGAAAATGAATGTAATGAATTTAAATGTATATACCTGCATTTAATTTAATCATGTTTAATTATTTTTTCCCAGAGCCTTGCCATCTTTGAGGTGAGGCCCCTAATAATTCCTCAGAATTCTAGAAGTGCCTATGAAGCCACAAACATTGGCCATCCTCTGAAGATTCACAAAACTTGTCATGGATTGTTAGCACTGGCACATGTATGCCAACTGTCACCAAATTTTGAATGGCAAACATGTTTAAAAAGATGACACATTTAAAAATATGATTCCAGAAATATTCCAGAAATACTAATTTAAGAAAAATAGCATTTCATCTAGCAATGCAAAAAAAAAAGGGGGGGGGTTCCTTTTTTCAAGTAATTCCTCAGATCCAGAACTAAATGAGGTGCTTATTAGGACAAATTATATTCAATTCTGTCTTTTCTCCCATTCATATACAAATCATATCCTTGCTATCAATATAAGCTTATTGGTGATTAATACTAAGAATGAAAAGAAGGATAGGTGCAAAGATATCGGGAGGAAAGGTGAAAGGGGAAAAATTATGAAAGCAACATTGCACCATAAGCTCTGCTTGTATTGTAACTTCGTGAGATTGCACACATGTATGAAATAGGCAGAGCTTGGAGTGCAATGCTCATTTGGCATTTGTTGAAAGAATAAGATTGCCTGGATGGGTTATGGGAGTATAGGCACTGTACTTTTCCCCTTTTTATATGATAATCTAGGCCTATGCCTCAAATCTTTTAGTCATCTGTCTCTCTCCCTGGAAATATTTCCTGCTGTTCTTCAACAGATTCCCAAGGATGTATTCTTTTGGATTTGTTTGGAGCTTCTTTCTCAGTGCAAATAGCAGTTCAAGGGGAAAGGATTTGCACTGGAACCATGAGTAGGAGGGAATCAAGCCCTCACTTCAGGACTTACTGTAGTCATTGGAAACCATATTATATCCAGAGAAATTATTGGTCCATCTAGTCTAGTATTGTCTATATTAATTGGCTGCAGTTCCCTGGACTAACATCTTCCCTGTAACCTGTATTAATGATCTGGAAGCCATTATGATGTTGGAGGGATGGTAAAAGCAAGAAAATGATATGTCACAGGTTCCTCCAATATACAATGTGGACAGTCATCCCCTTTAAGGAATAGAGATTAAATTTAAGTTTCAGTGTATTCCTATGTCCTAAATGCAGCATTTCTTTTCCTAGAATAGTAGATGATAGTAGAATTTTTACAAATGACAGAACTGGGGAAAGAATTAGGATACCTTCTCCAGCATTCAGTAGCCTTGTTCTAGGGCAGGGGCCTCCAATTCAAACCATTACGATGCCACATGAAGACTAGTTCTTTGCCCAAAGACCACAACACTAAAGCTTTTTCATATATTGATACAAAATTCTCTAGGGTAAAGTAAACATAGAAGAGCTGCTGCATATTATTGAGTATAATGAAATTTGCCTCTTAGAATATGAGGCTAAAGAGCAACAGAAGGCTGAGAATTTCATTTTTTACACATATGACATTTCAAATTATTCAGTGGCATGGAGATGTCTTATGCAGACATTCCCAACCTGGTATTGAAGTCTATCTTGAAAATTTCAGATTGAAGGATGTTGGTCATATGGCTGAAATAGTTTTTTATTATATGGAATCACACAAATGTTATTTTTAAATCCCATAAATTAAGATTCTGCAGCCCATAAACAATCATAGGTCTTGGGAGAGGCAAGACTGCAAATGTATATGCGATTTCTATGAATGGCAAAGGAGGATCCACATGATACAAAGCCCTGCACTGGGGCTTTAACATGCCATGTTAAATCTTCTAGAGCAGAAATGGGCTATCCATTGTCTTCCATGTGTCTTCAACTACAGTATAGCTAATGGTTACAGGTTATGGAAGTTATAGTGCAAAACATCTGGAGGGCATCAGGCTGTATATCCTTGTACCCACTATGGCTTATGGCAAGGTACACTTCCCCTCCCCCTCCAAAATGCCTTCTTTTACCGCCATAGTGTCTCCAGAATGTGTAGTCCCAAATTTGCTTTTTTGCATTTGGGGGAGTTTGGAGAGATGTTAAGGGTAAAATAGATTTTAAGCATCACATTGGCTTAAAGCACCAATTTTACCTCTTAATAAACCCAATATCCAGAGTATCAGGCCTACTTTATATCCTATTCCCACCTACTTTTAGAATGTAGCTCTTTGCAAACTATAGCAAGTTCTAGGTTTACACACTTTTGCCCTCTTCTCCTCCATCCATATGGACAGTGAGAGGATTTTAAAGCAATTACTTTCATTTAAATTAACTATGGTTTATCATATCTGACATGACTAGTACTAATTGTGAATGGTTTTAAGCAAACCAACTTCACCTAGCCATTGATACAATAAACCCATGCTTTCCAATATAACTCAAACAGAATACATGTAATAGACATTGTCCAGTCATTCTGAGTGACTGGCCTACAAATGTGATCAATAAATAAGCTTGAAGTGGACATCCTTAAGTAAAATTCTTCAGCTTTTATCCTACTTTAATCATTTCTGTGGGTTGTTGGGTTATCATGCCAAAACTTGTTGAGAACAGGGTTTGTTTTTGTCTAGAAAGGGGAAGGGATGGTCAGCCTGTTCCAACTTTGCGCAAGTGTCTGCAACCTAGAAGAGCTGACTGCTAGAGCATAGTTAGTGATTGGAATAATCCAGTCTAACCTATTTAAACATCTGAAGCTTAGTTAAGAGAGTCCCATGTAAACGTGTACCATTATACCTGTGACTGGCATCAGAAATTCCAAGGATATCAAACAGATGAATTGGGAAGTGGGAAAGACACCTGAATTTAATTTCCTGACCTTTGTCCAAAGGCTGATCTTAATCAACTTAAGATGAAGTCATACATACACTACATTATATAGTGTATTATATATAGTAAATAGGAAGTTTACCTATTGCAGGCCTCAGGACATAGATCCTGCATAATCTCAAAAAGCTAAGTACAGTTGGGTCTGATTTGTAGTTGGATGGGAGACCACTGGCTATCACTGTGTTGCTGGCCAGAAAATGATATGGGCGTGTCTATGAAATCTCATAATGAGGGAAACTGTAGCATTTTATTTTTAGTGAAGGTTTTTGATTCCCAAAGAACATATAATTGCCAGTAGTGGCCAATGTCAATGACAGCTTGTCGCTGAATGTATGTTACTCTTTCACAAATAACTAGCGTGAGAGTCTGTTGGGGCCTTGCATGGAAATATTAGAGCTTTACATCCTTCTCCTTTGCTGTTTTCCTATCTAAAATGGGGAAAACACTTCAGTGACTCGGGTTGGCATTAACTATCAAGTCTTCAACAGAGAAGCACAAAAGCTGAAGTTCATTTTGAGCCTAACCTGGAAAACTGTTCTTCATGAATAAGAGAAATGCAAGCTGTACATTCTCAGGTGATAACAATGTACAGTATTCTGCACATGTACAGAAGCATAATTAGTTCATACTTCTGATGTAAGTACTGCAAATTTGAAAATGGGTCACTATTCTTATTTTCATATTAACTCTCTATTAAAAATAAATGGGAGATTATTTTGAACATGAACAAAAGACCACAAGATTCATTACCTTGTCCAGAGAAAAAGTTTTGGTGAGTGCAAATGCCCATCCCGCTTCAAAAGCTCTGCGGATCATTGATGAACTTGTAGTCGGAGTTGCACTGGCGAGGCCAAAAGGATTTGAAAATCTGAGTCCGGCCATTTCTATGCTGATGTCTACCAAGTCGATCGGGGTATAGAAAAGAGGCAGCTGAGGTACAGCAGGAACGGTGGCACCATATAAAGACTGTAGGAATAAACAACAGAACAGTTCATCCACTTTATTCAAATCTACCCCTCCTCAAATAAGTGTGTATGGGGGTTTACTTATTTAGGTTTACAACAACTCTAGAGTGGGCTAAGAATCAGTCTTTGTCACTTCATGACTGACTTATCAGAAGGAAGAAAATCAGCCATGTGTTTATTGCTAAAAATTTTGCATCTCATTAATAAAATAAACCTCCCAAATAAATCCTTTTAACCCCACTCTTAATGGGAGTATCAGGGCAACCCAGTGACCAAGCATGTTTGGCACTTTAAAATCTTGCCAAATATAAATGAAAAATTGGAACTATGAAGCAGATTTTGCTATGGCACATGTTTCCTGCCTTTAAGCTCTAGAAGGGAGACATTTTAAACTACTTAGCAACCCTAATAACCAGCCAGAATGGTAAGCATGGAAGGGACTTGAGACCATCAAGGTAATCTTAATTTCTGCAAGGAATGGTTTATGCTACTTCACCCTTTCACAAAACATTCCATTCCACTTTATGCAGGAAATAGTGTATTTTTCTCTTAAAAGAAATGCACACTTTTTTTTTAAAGAATAATATATTTTGCCTTGCATTTCACCTTTTTTAAAAAAAGTAGGTGCACATAAAATGTTTAAAAATAGACATTTCCAAGTATTCTGTAAAATACTTCAATGAAATGAAAGTTCTCGAGAGGCTCCTAAAATAAGTATTCTTTAGAATGAAAGATTAGCCCAATTTCTGGATTTTTACTTACACACAAAACCAGTAAAAATGGCAAAAGAAAAAAAAAACTGCACAAAGATATAAACCTAACATTTATGGGCAAAAATTTGCATCTACTAATTTGTACAATTATTTCACAATGGTAAACAAAACAAAAACAAAAAAATACTTGGCTTTGTTTTCGGTGTTTTAGTTAGCTGTACTAACTATAACACCGAAAACAAAGCCAAGTATTTTTCTACCTGGTAGCTAATCAACTGAATCTGTATTGCTACAGGAATAAAGTTTTTGCTCATGTGGTTAATCTCTATGAGATATATGTTTAGCTTGTGGTGCAGAAGAGAACTAGTCACAATGTAACCCAATGTTTATGTTTTCATATTGTTGTACTATTCTTTTTCTACTTTCATGATATGAAATTCATGGATAATCTGCAATTGCCTTTTCCAGTTGTGTTCTACTGTTGCTATCAACAGCAATCTGCCTATCACCCTTAAGAGTAATTCCTAAAACAATTCTTCAAATATTATATTATACATATATAGAACTCCCATCCATCACACACGATATTGGTATAACAGGGGTCAAATGACAACATTCATTAGGGCTTTTCCTCACAGCCATGTTAAAATGCAATCCACAATTGCTAAGGTGGCACAAAAGTATGCTGGTATAAAATTTGTGGCCTTGACAGCCAAGCGCTATTCTGCCTCACTAATGAGGTGAGCAAGTGGTGCCGTCCCTAAAGATTTAATGTGGAATAAGTAAAGTGATTGATGGATTCCTCGACTTAGTTTTCTCTCCCACCAAATATCACCAACCAGCAGGAAAACATCCACCAGTCTCTCTCAATAACCTGAGGTGGAGGTGGGTCTGGGTCTGGGGAGGAGGCAAATTTTAACAAATAGACTCCTCTGGTTTTGCACAAGAGCTCTGCATAGATGCATTCAAAAGGAACCTTTCCGACATTTGTTTAATTCTATTTTAGAACAGTACTATTCTGGAGTAGTGCTAAACCCATGTTTAAAAGTACCCCCCAAACTGGCTGACAGGCTGATAGATCTCCCTCTGCTGTAAGCAAGTCTCCTAGATGTGACAGCTGGGAGTCACAACAGTCCTGGTAACCTACTGGGAGCAGTAGCTGAATCTGGGAGGAGTTGATTCTTTACCTACCAGGTCTCTGTTCCCACGGAGCAGATCTCTCAGATTCTCCCACAAAAGGACTAACGGAACAATTTACTCCCTATCAAATGAGCTTAGGCTCAATCCATGAGTTCCAAATTCAATACTTAACATATTATGAGTATATAGTTTGTATAATAAAAGCATTCAGCTTCTTGGTCTGTGGTTAATTGTAACCCCACCATAGGTAGTATCCACAGCCAAATTACTGTTGGACAAGAGAGAAAATGCTACTTTAAAACTGGAACAGCTAAATGTGAATTTAAGCCGCCTCCTCTGAAGGAGGCAACTATCAGGCCTAGCCCAAAGAACTCCTGGAGACCATGCAGGTTCAATCAGCAAGGTTTATTAGCCAGCGCCTGTTTACAGAAATCTTCTCAGACTGACCACTAGTTCCCAGGCACAGCTTGGAAACATTCACTACCTTCTGGAATGTTTAGGGATGCGCCAGTTTCCTCCGCTTATCTCCAGAGCGTGGCTCTGGAGACGAGAGCACTGTTTTCACCCCCCTTCCTCCATTCCAGTCCATCACATTAACATCAGGAAGGTAAGTTCTTTTTAAATTATTAGTGGGACATTATCATGCCACAGTTAGAGGAACATGAAGATGAACTTTTAGTTTTTAGACTTATAGGATTCCTTCTGAAACATTCAAGCATATCCTGCTTCAGCAAAGCAACAGTGAGATGCAGAAACTATAATTGATATATCACAACTTGCAGTGAGCTAAACAGAGAACTATAGTATTCCTCCATAGCTATAATTTCTTCTAGAGGTCCCGCTAGAGATATCTTTAGCTTAGCCATTTATACTCAATCAAATCATCTATTGCTTTTAAATATTACCTACTCAACTCTGAAGCAAGCTGTTAGTGACCTGAAAAGGAATCAAGGTCTGAACCACTTCCTAATTCTTCTCTGGGCCAGCATTGCTGGGCATATGCAATGATTGGCTCCAATTTATTTATTTTCATATTTCTTTCACATTTTTAATGAAAATAACCTCAGTGGTAGACACTAATTAAAACAGAACAATAATAAAATAGTAAGCAAATTACAACATGCACTATATAGCAGCAGCAGCATAGCAGGCTAAACATATTGAAGTTCAGTGAAAGGACACTTCCATAGTTCGTTGAAAAATAAGCAGTGATGGTTCACAGGAGCCTACCCCAGGCTTGGATGTCACAACCAAAGAAACTGTAACATCTAATAGAAATGATGAATATTAAATAGTAGCAGAAGTGACGTGGTGTGTTCTAGAAAGTCTGTATCAGAGAGGGAGGAGTTGCTGCCTTTTTAATGGGGAACACTACTCTCTGATCACATAAGATCAGCAAATGAATACTGACAGCAGCAAGAAAGAGAATGAGTAACTGTTTCCATCTGATTAATTACCAAGATTGTTGACTGGCAAATGAATAGCAGACAAAAATAACTGTAACGAGGGCCCACTGAAAGAGAAGGCTACACATCAAGAGCAGTTTGACTTGTGGTTCTTTAAGACCTAAAGTTTGTACATCTTCTCTGCTGTGTCAGTTTTCTGTATGCAGATTACAAAATACAAAAATCTCAACCTATAACAGATTGTCGGAGAATAGAAAGCTGCAAAAAATGCCCCTCACTTCAGTCCATTCTTTTCACTATCTCATTTTCTCCAGTATAGTGATCATTCTTTATCAGTTGAACATATTTACATTGCAGCTGGCTTTTAGGAATTGTTTCCCCTTTTAGGTTCCCCATCTCCAACAGTAATATTAATTTTTGCATTCTTGAAAATTAAGAGAATGGATTCCCTTGAACTGGGTTACTTGAGGGGCTACCCTTCCACAATCACATCTACTTGTCCCATCAGGTCGAACAGGAAGGGCATGTTGAGGGGCCTGTCCATGAAGGAATGTCATCTGACAGGATCCAGGAGGAGAGCCTTTTCTACCATGGCACTGACCCTCAGGAACATCATCCCCCTGAGGTGAGATTGGCCTCAACCTTACTGGCCTTCCAGAAGGGCCTGAAGACACAGCTTTGCCATCTGGCATGGGGATCCAGTAGCATGGGAACGGTGCCTGCAAAGTGGTTATATTGCTAGGGAAAGTGAGTGTGCTCTCCCACAGATTGGGGGGGAGGGTATGATTTTTAATGTTTTTTAATGTTTGCTACGTTTTTGGGTATTTTTTGTATTGTGTATACTGCTCAGAGTCACATATATGAGATGGGAGGATATATAAATTTACCAAATAAATAAAGATAAATAAATAAATAAATAAATAAATAGATGGTGCCTTCCTCTTACGTGTGAGTAATGAAATTTTGGTACATATGCAGGGACACTTACACTTTGAACATCAGAAATAAAAGGAATACCACTTTACAATTCTCACCTAAACTCCTGACAATACATTTGAGTGAACACATTCATACCTTATGTACCTTGCTCACTGTTTTCTGAAACATCCTAAATGGTATGATAAGCAAATGCATTTACCTCCTGCATCTTCTAAAAATGACATGTTCTACCAATATCCCTTTTTTTCTATACGAGCTTCCAGCACCTGTAACAGTATTTCTCTGAACTTCTGCACCTTGTTAACCAACTTCTTTTTAAAAGTATCACCCAAGAAGATTTTTTTCTTCCTTCTTTGTATCTTCATGGCTCTCCTTATTCCATTATTTATTATTTAATTCTGTAATTGTATTATTTACAGTCAGTCAGGGATGCATATTGTATGAAAGTCCTATTCAAATTAAAATTGTATTGCACAGCAATACGTGATGCTGTGGCTCCGGATTTCTCAAGAGACTGAAGAACATGTTCTAAGAGATCCACATATTCCCCTCACAAGTAGCAAAATAAACAACCTGGAGTGCCTAAGTAAAGTGAATTATTACTATTTTCTTTCTCCTCCTACAATAACTTACGTTCAAATTATCTCTGAAATACTTGAAAGAGACAACTTATGGCAAACCATACAAAAAAGTTCACCTATTATTTGCCAAACAAGAGAAAGAAAGAATATTTTATGTAATGTAACACTAATAGACTGCCATTAAAGCTATGCTAAAGTGCATCTTGAGTGGAAGTTTACCAG